GCGGGAATGGAGGGTAAAAAGCCGTTGGGATTAATTAATTAATAAAATCCTCGATGCAATGAAAATAGATATTCTAGCGTGAGATTACAAATAAAGCTCAGTAAAAAAAATGACAGCAAGACTTGAAAAGAAATAAATAATCAAATAAAATACAACAAACTAAATTAAAGTACAAAAAAAAATAAATAAAGAGCGCTAATGTTTCCAGTGTTTCATGTGCAAAATTTGGTATTGTGGTTTACCTGTAAATGTACAATACATTTTTATTTTTACGAAAAGGGTTACCACTCGTTAAAGAATTGAATTGAAAATATTTAATATGGGTATCAATCGAAATGGTTTTGAAAAGGCCTTATTTATTTCTTAACTAAATATAGGATGGTTACCACTGGTTTAAAATATCAAATTTTATTTAAATAAAGGTATTAGAGATACGTATCACAATTAGGGTGTCAGACGAAAGAGATATAAAAATTTTTAAGATTGAAAATATTTTGAATAGAGTTGCCAATAGTTCGAAAAGTCAGCATTAATTAAATTATAAAGGAGTTGTACGAAAAGTTAAAATATGGGTCTCAAAACGAATGAATATTAAAATAATAAGTCTTAAGTTTAAATATTTAGAATATTTTCTAAGAGAGCTGATACCTGGACAAATTAGGGGTATTGAATAAGTTAAATGATTTAAAATAGGGATATCGATCGAAATGAGTTTGAAGAAAGACTTTATTTTCGAAATATATTTAGAAGGACTGCCATATGTTTACAAAACCAAAAGGTTTCAAATTGAAAATAATTTAAAGAGGGTTGACACCTGTTTTAAAAGCAAAATGAAATTAAATTATGCCCAAGCTATATGAAATATTAAAATAAGAGTGCTAAGAAATTGTTCAACATTTAGAATATTTTCGAGGTGTTTGAAGAGGGTTGCCACGGGTTTAAAAAATTAAACTCAATTTATTTATTATGTTACATTACTTAATAAAAAATGTGTATCAATCGAAACGGTTTTAGAAAGTCTTTATTTCAAAATTGTATTTAAAAAGATTACCACGTATTTGAAAACTCAAATTCAGCTTAATTCATCAACTAATTGAAGAAAATTAAATGAAAATTATTCAAGAAGATTTTAGCCTGAAAAAACTTCTGTAAAAGGTTGAGTTTAATTAACGCAAACACAAGATATGTATATGATATATTTAAATATGAGTAGATATCAACCGAACGGGTTTTATAAAAGCTTTACTTTGAAAATACTTTGGATTAGGGTTACCACCTATTCGAAAAATTATAATTATCTAGTTAAAGTAGTCTACTGTTAAAAAAGTGTATTATTATTCGACGTAGCCATCGAGTCTGCCCGGGTTTCTTATGTTGCACGTATGTGGTCTAGCGGTATTTTGCCCCAGTGGGAGTGAATAGCAATCTGCAAGGCATTGTATTTCTCATATATTTTAGTTGAAGCTTCGTCTTTGAGAATATACCATATTGCGTGTTTAAAGCAAGAGAAGCTTCATAAGAATCAGAAGGCCTCGTTTTTAGTTAAAAGATTTTGTATTATTTTTAATCGACTTCAAAAAAAGGAGGACGTTATCAATTCGTCGGAAAAAAAATTGTTTTTTATGTTTGTTACCGCATTACTTTTGACCTCTTTCAATGTTTTCTATAACTCCTTTTTTAAAAGAAAAGGTGGTACCTCAGAGGTGCTCCCATACTACATAATTTTGTTTAGATCCGATCACTAGATCATGAAGGAATTAACGGCAATCTTAAATTTTTATATGATAATTGAAAATGGCTTTTTATGCAAAAAAAAATATCTGTGGCCTTATCAAGTTTTCCGTGCCTTTTTCAGACTTAGCAAGCTTTCCTTTCGCTGAATATTTATTTGAGATTCTTGGGAAACTTTTATCATAAAACTGACCATTCAAATTCGCTGACTACTGCCATTTTGAACTTTATTTAGTTTAATGTGTTTAAAGTATGTAAATATTATTCGAGTTCTTTAAGCAAATTCTATACAAAAATGCTTCATGTACAATAAATTTAAAAATTCCTATAATTAATTTTTCTTTCGCAGTCCTTTTTCGCCTTTGACATTCTGGACAAACCTGAAGCGGTGAAGGCTTTGCAGGATATCAACCCCAACACTAAAGTGCACTACACGAAATTTGACATCACCAACAAGGAATCGATCAAGAGCGCTCTTTCCGATGTGGTATCTAAAGTGCAATACATCGACGTATTAGTCAACGGAGCTGGCATCTTGGCTGACCCCGCCGTTGAGTTGACTATAAATGTCAACTTGATTGGTCTAATCAATACCACCTTTGAGGCTTTGCCTTACATGGATAAAAATCAAAAGGGGCGAGGTGGAGTTATTGTGAATATCGCCTCTGTATTGGGTCTAGAACCATGTCCACCAGCGGCTGTGTACTGTGCTTCCAAATTTGGCGTTGTGGGTTTCTCGCGCTCTCTAGGGGTATGTGTGCAAAGATAAACCTAAATAAGCAACGAAACTTTATAGAAAATTATTTAGTTTAATTAAAAGGTCCTATAATTTTATATTCCAGCATCCCGACTACTATGAACACACTGGCGTTGCAGTGAGCACATTCTGTCCCGGTTTGACTGACACGCCATTGAAGAACAATCTCTCCACCAAATATACCTTTGATTATTCTAAAGCGATTGGCGCTAAATTCGATAATAGCAAAACCCAGACACCCGAAATTTGTGGAGCACACTTGGCTCAAGTGGTAGATTTGCAGGATAATGGTGGGATCTACATTAGCAACCAGGGTACACTGACCAAGGTGAAACCAAGTGTCTACTGGGAACCTACTTATTAAAGACTTGCACAATAAATATGTAGATAGGTTTTAGTAAACATTTATATATATTTATTAAAAATTACTAATGGAATGAATGTACATAATTGTGCTCTAATTAACAATAAATAAATAAATTTAAAAACTTGTAAGTTTTTATTAAAAACGAAAAGCAAGAAAATAGTAAATATTTGTCCAATGAAATTTTACTGCAACAAATAAATAAATACGTACACGTACACGTACATTAATGTAAAAAAAAAAAAAAAAAAAATTTATTTTCATTATATACATATGAATTTACATATCTGATTTCATAAATAAATTCAAAGATTTATACATATAAACACGTACGATTTTTCACCGGCATGCAAATAAATAGACAAATATCGCAGCTTATTCACGATTCGTATGTAGTGACTTTAGTTTGCAAAAGCTATTTGTATATGTGTGTGTACATTAGGGCGGTCAAAAATGCATGTGAAAAGGTAAATTCGGAACTCTAATGCTTCCAATCTTTATTTCGAAAAAATTTACCACTTTACCGAGCACACTTGTGCACGTAACGGTTGTTCGCATAACGGTTGTTTGTAACAGCCTAAAGCGAGGTAGATATAGATAGATGTATACATAAATGATCAGAATGACAAGATAAATCGATTAAGCCATGTCTTTCTGTCCGTACGTCCGTCCGTCTATCCGTGTACACGATAACTCGAATTGAGATATCTCAATAAAATTTGGTATATAGGTTGCCCCATATCCAAGGTAAGTTGCTATTGAAAATGGGGGAAATATGATTGTAATAATAATAATAGATTGGCGCTTATGTTAGTGTTTGGCCGAGCTTCTCCTCCGATTTGTGGTGTGCGCCTTGATGTTGTCACACAAAGCGGAGGGACCTACAGTTTAACGCCGACTCCGAACGGCGATTGTATTAGTATGAGAAGCGGTTTTTCATGGCAGAAATACACTCGGAGCTTTGCCATTGCCTGCCGAGGGACGACCGCTGTTAAGAAAAAACCTTTTATTTTCTATATTTTTTGCGATGTTGCCTTGACCAAGGCTTGAACCCAAGCCGTGCGGAGTGGAAGCCGCACGGCTTACCACTACACCACAGCGGCCGAGATGATTAGCCATGCCATATTTGAAGATCAGTGGCAAAGCGATTTCATACTTTTAGCAGGTGTTATCAATCGGCCCTATGCTGAATATCGTCATCGTCATCGTCGACTTTCGTCAGCGCATCAGTACATGGCTGACGATGGCAGTATCGTCGCTTTTACTAGCGATGACGATATTCAACATAGGGCGGAATATTCATCAATTAAATAGAAAAAAATTTAAAACGCGAAACTATTGCATGAAGTGAACGGGGGATAATAACCAAACCAAAGGCTTGTTAAATGGACTATTTTAAGGCAGCCATATCACTGGAGCTATTTCAAGGTAATATTTCCATTGAATAATAATCTGTTTCCTAGCATTAAGAAATGTTTTTTCTGAGGAGGTACCTGCGAAGTGTATATAAAATTCGGTTTCGTCCACTTCTTAACTTGTTATCTATTAAAGATGTCAACATAAAGCGATTACTCGACATACTTCAGATGATGATAAAAACATTACAAGGTAAATTCTTTCTCCCAATTTGTCGGTCATATTGTTTTCTGACGTTTGCAAGCATTTTGAAAACATATAAAATTGCGATTAAAAAAAAAAAATTATTCACAATTGTTGTTGCTTGAGATTGAAAAGGAGAATGTGTGTGTGAGTTTGAGTATTTGAATTTTTAAATTCTATTGCTGGTCAAACTGACTTATGTTTTTATCATGGTTCAGATGACTTCAAATCTGGATATAATTTTATCTACAGTATACAGAAGATGAATTCAAGGGTCTTTGCCTATTCTTATGTACTCCCAGCCCATCTGGGAATTGAACCCCCAAAAACCCATACCTGCGTTCGCCCCTGTATGTAGTAGAGATAGTCAGAATGCCATAATGCACACCGCCTTGAGGGCAGACAGCTTAAACGGGTTGGCCCTCTCAATATACAGTGAACCCCACTTAAGTACCCTCCGCTTAAGTACCTAACCCGCTTAAGTAACCTGTAATGTGAAGAAAATCCCTCTCTTAAGTACCTCCCCGATTATTTACCCAACCCGCCTAGGTACCTAAATTTTTTGTTTTACTTATTTAAATTTTTTTTACTACTTATAATTTTCCCCTTTCAAGTGCGCCCTTGAACTTGCTTCTTGAAACATGCACATTATTACACTAAAAGTAAATGGGCTATAAACACGTCTGGGAAAATGTTTGATATTTTGATGAAAATTTTAAGCTTCAGTTTATATGGTATTTGTTAGGGAATGAAATGTGTTTTGATTGAAAAATCTTAAAATTTGATAAATAAGCATAAGTGACAAACATCATTTTGATTTTGGTCCGAAACGATAGATATGTCCAACACTGTATGTACGTATAAATATGTATAATCAATGACTTTAAAGAATTGAATTCTTTTGAAAATTACATACCATAGATTTGTCGATTTTTTTTTATAAAGTTTTTATTTATGTGTTTAGATAATGCTACAATCTTGGTTTTAAATAACGTTCACTTCATTAAATGTTAATGTTTTTTTTTTTCAAGAAGTTATTTATGTAAGTTACCAAGAAGATTAACTACATCAATAATTATGTTCGCTTAAGTACCCGCATAGAGGTACTTAAGCGGGTTCTTTTAAGTACCCAACCTCTCTAAGTACCACAAAAAACTGACATTTTTCGTGGGTACTTAAGCGGGTTTTACTATAAATTTCGACATTGAAGTAAAGCCAGAAGAAGTGAAGGCAAGATTTCTCAATATGGGAAAAAACCGCATCAATTTCAGTGTCTACATATTTATATGCATCAGAAATAAATTTTATGTTTACTTATTAACAAAATCACTAATTGAGGTACATCATTATGAAAGTACCCGCTCCCCCAAACTTTTAATCTAGATCCGCCACTGGGTATAACGAAAATATTTTTGACCCTTTATGTTATGTTATATGTACCATTACATATCTAAATACATATAGTCATATGTAGCAAGTATGCACAATATATTTAGTATCTATGTGTCAAGCAGAGACTGCTGGACACCCACTACAAAGCTGTGTTATACCAATTAAAATATTTGCATTTAAATTGACAAGAAACATGTTCAGTTTGTGTGCATGTGACTGCCATTTAAAAATACATACATGTACATATGTATATGCATATATTTTTAAACACACCTACATATTTACATACGTGCGTTAAAGGAAAATAAACACAGCTGTCCGTTGGGCGTGTTGGCCATATATCATAGCACATGTACATTCATACACATGTGTGTGTACGCGTATAAATTGTAAAATTTTGTGTTCAAATGCATACAAACACTATTTTTAGATTATCGAATTAATTATTGAAATTTTGGTTATGATGCTTCCAAATGGAATATTTCATTAAATGTGTTGAAATTTTGCGGAAAAGTAATTAAGTGATAATACTGCCTTGACTTTTAGCTTAATAAAATTCATAAATTACATTTATAATTTATGGTTTTGAGATATATAAAATAAATAGCGGCGAGACAATTTGCCACTCTAAATAATTAATCAAGACAGAATATGTATATACATATATAAATCGCACAAAAAGCCGGAGTTTTTGTACATTTTTGACATTTTGTACATGTTAGTATAACTTTGAAATTTCTTTTTTATTAACCCTCTGACTTCTGGTGACTGGGAAAGTAGTTTTATATTCAGAAAGTGTTACTATTGTTATAGGATTTAAAAAATTCAAGTCAAGTCTTGAAACAAGCGGTTGTAAAAACAGTCGTTCCAGCATTGGTTGTCCGCTGGGCTTGGGATGTGCAACGTCGAATGAAAGGAAGGAAAATTCCTCGGAAAACTGTATACCGGCTCAGCTGTTCAAAGCCGGCAACGAAGAGCTGGTTGGGCGCAGAGTCTAAGCAGAATTTAGTGTGATCTATACATTCCCGAAGACTGCACCTTTTCCAATCTACAAGAAGGGAGTTTTTACCAACTATCGCGGAAGAAGCCTTCTTAATTGCTTATAAGGTCCTCTCAACGATTTACGACAATGTGACTTCAGACCTGGTAAGTTCACTATGGGTCAGATTTTCACAGCACGTCAAATCTCGGAGAAGGCACTAGATAAGCAAATCGACACACCCCATTTTTTTGTCGATTCTAAACCCACGAAATCAATTTTTATATGATATGATATATGAAAATGAGGAAGACTCCCGACAAAAAATAGCTCTCAAAAATGAATGAGATTGTGTACACTTCCCTGGTTATCAGGTTATCTGGTTAGAAACTATTATTGTGTAGTGTATTTTATTGTTGCAAACTGGATAAAAAATATAACCAAATAACTACATATGCTGATAACCAGGTAATTGCGAAAACCCTCTTTGGTATTTTTTAGTGAGTGGACTACAAAACACTACCTATACCCAAAAATTTTCTAAAAATTCTTGTTATAATTGTTTAATT